TATGAACGAAATATAATACTGTTAAGTGAACCTAGCGCCAGAGTGTCGCTATGGTAAACAAATAGAGTGAATTTTAAAGAATGCATTTATTCTATTGTGGTTTATGCGTTGTCGGCGAAGTAGATTTAATTCAATCCAATAAGTTTAAATGAAATGCAAGAAAAAAATGCGTATAATTTAATATTCCGTACAATGAAGTCATGTGGTGTACACATCATATTTTTTATATAAATTATAATAATGATCTGAAATAGCTATTTGCTCTTATGCTTTTAATTATAATAATAAAAAAGTATTATATGAAATTAACCTTTTATCTAAATTAAAACAATAATCTTAGATAACTATTTACTACTAGAAAGCCTGGCGGTCATATGAAATGACCGCTGTTCTAGATATTATAAATTGTAATTAAAATAATTCGTGCAAAGGTAACTTCTAATTCAAACTGAATTACACACGGCAGGCGGCGAGAACGCCCTTTTGCTTACTGCCCCACGGGGTTTCCCCTTTCTACTTGCTTAATTGCTTAAAGTAGAGTGCAATGAAGGAAACCACTGGCGGTACATTTCTTAAGAGCCACCATTAGCTCATTAAATAAAGATGATTTAAATAATAAAATGTTAATTCATATGTCAAAGATCTCTTTGTACACAACATTTCTTGTGTAGATCTTTCCATCATTTTTAAGCTCGCCTTGCAGAGGACCATCCATTATTTTTAATTTTACGTCAATTCTTTCACGAACTCTTGAAAAGGCAACATAAAGTTGACCGTGTCCAAATGAAGGCTCAGGTAAAAAAATGCCAACACGCTTAAGTGTTTGGCCCAGAGACTTATTGACGGTCATAGCAAAGGCAACTTTTACAGGCAATTGTCTACGTCTCAATTGAAACGGCAACCCTGTGCCGTGACAACTTCACCCCATTGGCTAGTACAGTTAGGCAAGCAACCAATAAACTATCGGCGACAAACAGACACTTAAGCAGCATATAATAAAGATATTTATTTATTTCATTTTATTTGTTTTTTCATCGTTGCCGGTTAGATATTTCCAAATTCTATTATATATAGGTGTTAAATTTATTTATTTAATGTTAAATGCACGTGCTCTTGTATTTTTATTTTTTCCGGCTTAGCTTTCTCATAATATTCGTCACGTGCTGCACTGCACGGGGAATAAAACAATTTGCAGTTACGCAAGCAACCAATAAGCTATCGGCGACAAACACTTAAGCCGCATATATATAAGATTATACTTCCTTTCTTGCGTTAGGGTTGCCGCAATTCTTCTTGGCATCACTGGCATCAACAATAGTTTGGCGATTTTTTACGGTCCTCAAAACGGAATAGTACCGAAATATTTTTTTTACGTCGATTTGCTGTCTCTAACAGCGGGTATTTTGTCTTCTTGCTGCTTTGTATTCCTTACTTTTCTATACGATTTGAGAATATCGTAATTTTGTTGAAGAACTCGTAATATATTGTGCATTTAAACATCTGGTTGTAACGAAAGTTTTCCGCCAAAATATGTTTTTAATAAAGTTAGGGGAAAAAATGAAAGCAGGACCTTTAGGCTCGCAGGCGAACGTCATTAACATCAGTAGGCCGGCCAGAGCGCTCTGCTTCTTCAATGTCCTGTGGTCCTTGTTTTTTAACTTTCAGGAGCAAATCTTCACAGTGTCATATGATACAACATTAGTACCTTAAGCTGTACACATGATGTGGTGACATTCTATAGCTGACCTTTTGCAACAGATCTGGAAGTAAATGATGGTTCTAATCTGGTAGCGTGATAGTTCCATTTCAGACACCTTGTACTATAACGATATTCTTTTACAAATTTCACAACACAGTGTTCTAAAGCAAGTTCCTTTCGGTATTTTTCCGTTTTGCCGGTGCAAACGATAAAGTCGGCAATAATGGTACAACTGATGCCAGACGGAATATCTTCGCTGGTAACCTTTTACGCTTCATTTTCACAACAAGTCGCAGCCATTTCTTATCAGATTGTTTCTTTCAATACTGGCATACAATTACATAGAATTTTTACAAAAGATAAATTTTATACCTCAAGACCATTTGCGGTAATTAAGTCAATTAGGATGCAATCGCACCGCTCACCCGAAGGTGAAAATAAAGGAAAAGCAAAATTAAGGGTTAAATTCATCAATTCTACTGAGAATGCACTAGCGAAGTAAAGCACTGCGGTTTTACATAATTTCTGAGTAAGCTATTCGTACGAATTGAAATAATTCTTGCATTTAAACTTGTATTCCAAATTAAGATTTAACTTGAAATTAATGTAGATAATTACTGAGAGAATTAAATTTTTGTAGCGTAGTTTACGTGAGATCAGATCATTTCGGGTCACGTGATACGAACCGGCGAATCAGGATGTTGAACCATGAAGGCATAGTAAATTCTTAAATTAATGTCTTTTTACAAATTTATTTTCTTTATTTATTGGCTTTTTGCAAAATTTTAAATCATATTAAATCAAACCAAAAACAAACCTAGAACAGGATATAATTCCCGAGGAAAAATCTGGTGATTGTGTGTAGGTGGTGGTAGTTGAGTTAATGGCGCATAACCAGAAAGGTTACATACGGCAAACACATGTTAGTTTATAAAAAGATGGATAAACTTTATATAACAACAATTAGCTAAGTCATAAAATCTACATGAACTAATAAAATGGTGAATATTAAAAGGAGTAGGTATTAAAACTCAGCAAATGATATGTAACAAGCGAAGAAACACATTAAAATTACACTATAATAAAAGCTAAATTAAATTAAATAATAGAAACCTGTTTCTTTCAGGTATAGTAATAAATTATTATTGGCCTCTTTCCCGATTAAACAGTCAAGAGGCAAGTCACACTCGTTAAAATGCTATAGTCTTAGTCTATTAAAATTCGGACACTAAAAAATGACGAACAGATAAAATGCTATCACAGTAGGGACAAATTGGCTCACTCTGTGCTTGCTTTGAGAAGATAATTGTGCGTGATTCTGGAGTGGCCGACTCGAATACGAGTCAAGAGTACTTCTTCCCTTCGGTTTCGAGTACTTTCCCAAAATTGCACTCTAGGCTTCACACTTCTTAGCTTATTATTTAATTGTGCATCCCAGATTTCTTGCCATTTATCTAAAATTTTCTGCTTGATGGTTTGGCTGATACCTCGGAGAAGAATAAGATTACTAGATTCCTCGACAGCAGCTTTGATTGTGTGTAGGAATATCATAGGTATCATAAAGATCGTGAACAGTAGAAAGGAAGGAAATGTGGATTTTTAATCTTTCGTTTGCTGGTCTGTAATAATTTAGAAAGTTATTTTTTCTTCGTAAGATTTTTTCAACGAGGTTTATGGCCCCCTTTTGGTACCTTTCACTTAACGGTTCTAGTTCAATCTGAAGTTCCATATCAACTATTTTAGCGGTTGATTTAGCGCCACCAGTGATTAATAGCAGCATGTTGCTTTGGAATAGGTCAAGCTTGTTTTTAACAGCATCTAAGGCGGTTATCAAAGCCTCGTTTCCATATTCAACAACAGGATGAACATAACTTTTATAGGCTGCACACAAGATATCTTGGGTTGAGCCCCAAGTGACACCAGCGAAATATTTCAATAGTCTTGATCTGGCATATCCTTTATCAAGCTTCAATCAATATGTTTCCTCCAAGTTAATTTTGGGTCTAAATGAATACCCAAGTAGACAATATCAAAAGTTCTATTCAGGTCTTTGTCATTAAACTGAAGTTGGATGTCGTGATGCTTTGTACTGAGCGAAAACAGTTGAAAGGTGGTTTTTATCAGTATTTACGACCATCTCCAGGTGTTAAGAATATTTAAAGCCTGCTGTAGGACGCTCTGCTAATAATGCCCACAAAAAGCGTTTGAAATATCTTTATCAGTAGTGAGCTCTTTAAAACCTTTTTTAATACGTTCATTTCTTATGATGTTTTGATTGTTTATCTAGGGCAAAAATTATGAGCCTTTGTGGCATACCTCCTAAAGCCCAGATTTTCTAGAAAGTTTGTATACGAGGCACGCTTTGCTTCAAACATTGATCAAAATATAGTATTAGGATGGCATCAAATGCTATCAAAGTATTAATATAGCCTGTGTCTCAAAGCTATACAATCCTCACTAAAGTCGGTATTTCGAGCCTTACATCTGTCCTCACAAAGCTTCTGCAATTTGTTATTCCAAAAAGGGGTATATTTCTTTTGTTGTCCTCTTGGGACACATAGTGAAGCACACTTTAGTATAGCATGGGTAAAGAGTTTTGAAGAATGTTCGAGATTTGGGGAAAACTAAGCAGTTGTTTATAAATGTATCAGTGAGGCCTTTATAGTTGAACCACAAGAAAACCTGACTAGGCTCCATGTAAATATCTTACAATACTGGATAGTAATATTTTATGTCCAGCACCACCGAGACTATCAATTAACTCAAGCTGTTTTTTGCATGACAGAGCTGGGTGGGCTAGGTATAAATCAGGATGAGAGACACTTTCACTTCCATTTAAGAAAGGAAAGTTGGAGAATTTCCTTCATTCTCAATGAAATCAATAAGATTTTCGACCATACAACCAATACTATTTGATGTCGAATAACTCCAGTGAGCTGAGGGGGCGTTGAAGTCTCCAAGTATAAGTGAATTTCTATCCCAATTGAGTATTATTCTTTCAAAATTGGGTTTATTATTTGATAGGATTGTACAAGAAGAATATCTTATGTAGGGTCTCTTGTCTCCATACATGTATTTTCAGAATTCTAATTTATCATTAGTAGTTATATGGCGAGAGGCAATTAACTTTACCTTTAAAGAAAGATTTACAAAAAAATAATGCAAAAAGCAATACAAAATAATTTACCTAACAGTATTTCTTAATTCCGCCCCCTCCCCTTAACTCGTACATTAATCAAAGTTGTGTTGTGTGCAAATTATGTACATAAAAACAGCAAAATAATTCATTGTTATTTTACAGGTGTATAATTTAGGAACTGGTCAGGGAGTTACAGTTGCTCAGCTTGTTGAATGTTTTGAAAAAGTGAGTGGAAAAAAGGTAAGTGAATTACAAATTTTGTACATTTTACATTGAAAATCTACAATTTTATACAAAAATTAAAAAAAAAACTACAAATGGTGGACTTTTAACTAAAAACTATCATAACAGAAATTTTCATCATGTAAGTAAAAGAAAAAAATTCCTAGCAAAAGAAATTGTTAAATTAGTCAGCAATTCAGCATTTTAACATAGTTCTAATTTGAAAAGGTGCTTTTTTTTTTTTCATCATGCAGTAATAAGTAATATCATATTTTGCAGAGTGACAAGTATGTTTTTAATGCATCTCGTTGGGAAGATATTTTATATGACTATCAATAGTGTAGTTACAGTGAACTTTTCAAGGTATCCGCATCATGCTGAAACTTCATGCCGCTTCTGAAACTTAAAAATATATCTAAGAACATAAATAAACATTAGTATTAAACTATGTCAGTACATCTAAATTCTTTTTTAAGCTAAAATCTCCTCTCCAATCTCTCAGCAGCTTTTAAAGAATGGCTAAGCAAAATTTGTATTTTCATATAAATTTAATAGTCAGACATAAGGCAAAGGAATTAATTACAATTTTAAATTTTGATAAATAAAAATGAGTTGAATTTCATGACTCCTTAGCAGTGTAATGATTTTAAATTTTAATAAAGTATTTCATTTCGACTCTTTTTGATTTTTTAGGTACCTTACCGAATAACAGATAGAAGACGTGGAGATATACCAGCTATTTGGGGTGACTGCAGTTTGGCTGAGAAAGAATTAGGATGGAAAGCAGAATATGGATTAAAAGAAATGTGTAAGTTGCTCAGTGACAAGTTGCCATTGAATATAAAAAATAGATGGTCAAAAGTTCAATCATTTTAAGTTAGCATAATTTCATAATGTTAAAAATTCATATTTGTTTACTAAATTTACACTAATGCATTGCTGAATTATGTTTGGTTTGAGAAACCTTATGAGGAATAATATGAACTTGGACTAGCTATGGATAATTTATTTCCTCCCAATCCCCTATGAGAAGCTACTTCTTAACATTTAATTTTTTTTTAAAATTGGAGGGATCATAAAATATTTTAAATTCTTCAATAGCTCAATGATAAAACTAAATTCTTTAATCAAAAATCATTAATACTGAAAGTTCTCACGTTGATGAAATGGTTCTTAAACACAACTTCTTTACCATATACTGGAATCTGCACACTTTTAAAGGCATTAATATATATATATATTTTTTTTATTGAAAATTTTAAATCCTTGTGCACCACATAGTATTACACAAGGCTTACAGAGTAAGTAAAAAAAAAAAAAATACAACACCACAACACAAAATAAAATAAACTTACAAATTCACAGATGATACGTAAGAGATAAATTTACAGAAAAAAGAGAAAGCCATTTTATGTTGGACAAAAATATGAAGAGGGGGAGGAAATGTAATATTCCCAGAGTTTAACTTAGAAATGAGTTCCTTTCGTCCTTCCTTGAGCTTTGAACAATAGAACAACAAATGTTCGACATTGTGCACTCCCCCGAAACTGCATGAACACAAGTCTGTACTAGATAATCTAAATCTCTTCAGATATGAATTGAATTTACCATGTCCAGTTAGAAATTGAGTAACTTCAAAATTGCAGAAAAAGTGTTTATTATTCAGTCTGTGAGGAATGGAAGGAAAATATAGTTTAGTCAAAGAGGCAGTAGTAGAATTCCTGTATAGTTCATTCCACTCGAGTATTGTATCATCCCTACTTTTGGTCTTGTAAAATTACTTAGGAAGTATCATTGGAGTAATTACTTGAGATGTGTAGCTTGTTTTGCCAACGAATCAGCCCGTTCATTTCCTAGATTGCCAGTGTGGCCACGTACATGAAAAAAGATAACATCAACACTTTTATTATTAAGGTCTTTAAGAAGAGCATGGGAAGTCACAATTAATTTATTATATGAGAAGATATTCCTAAGAGAAAATAAGGATGAAAGAGAATCAGTGCGAATAAGAAATTTAGCGAACAGTTGTTAGATATCCACTTAATTAACTCACTAATGCACAGTAATTCGGCTTGGAAAACACTGCATTCATTGGGAATTCTAAAGAGTTTGTATTCCAGTTCAGAACCATTATGGAAAACGACATAAGCTAATCCAACTCGATTATTAATTTTACTGCCATCTGTATAACACACAACAGGGAAATTATCATCAACAGAATTGTCATAAATGATAGTTTGAATTGGCAAACGATTGGCAGGATGAGGAAGATCTTCAAACAACACCTTGGCATCGAACATAAATTTGCTGATGGTATCTTTAAACTTTTTGTCATTCAAAACATGAAGGTCAATCGGAGGAAATCCTGAAATTGCAAAACAGGCTTCATAGCTAATTGTTCTGTAGCCATGCACAACTCTTAGTAAAATTCTTTGAATTCTGCGAAGTATACGGAAATTAATCTTCTTTTCTAAAGCTGTTCCCCACACTCTAGAAGCATAGCAAATAAAGGGGACAATACCCTGCTTATAAATCATATCAATAACATTAAATTTTACCAAAAGTATTGCAAAAGACAAGATTAAGTCCTCTAAGTCTATTTTCACACTTATTGGATAAATACATAATATGATTTTTCCAACAAAACTTATGACCAAGAATAACGCCTAAATATTTAATTTCATTCACCGTTTTGGGTAAGGTATTATCCAAGTACAGTTGTTGGTTTGTACAGCTGACATGCTTTCTTTTAATTATCATAATTTTAGATTTATTAGGATTGAATTCCAATTTCTGTTCTCTGGACCAATTGGAAATAATATTAAGGGTGTTTTGAGCCGTATTAAAGAGAGTAATGGGACACTTCTCTTGAAAGCAAATTAGTAGATCATCAGCAAAAGCAATTGTTTTACAACTCGGACAATGTGAGAGTCTATTGAGTAGATCATTCATAATTAAATTCCACAATAAAGGTCCGGAAACCGAGCCTTGGCCCAAGGTCTGGCAACCTCTTTCCAAATGCGGGAGGAAGAAACGTGGCCAAGGGAGAGCAATGCAGATCTGTCATGCAGAAAATCTTTAATAAGGTGGTAAATATTACACGGAAGCATTAATAACTTCCAAAGGTATTTACAGTTTGGTGCTTCAACTGCTTTTTTGGAAGGAAATATGGTATCAAAATGCATTATCATTACATATAATTAGAAAGAAATTTACGTTGTTTATTATGTATAATTTTTCTTTAAATTATAATCAGGCTTGCTATTTAATAACTTTCTTTTCAGATATATATTGTACAGATTTCTAAAAATCACACTAACTATTATGAAATTTCTAATTTAGATTTTTTCCTTCTTTTGAACAGGTGAAGACTATTGGAGATGGCAGACATTAAATCCAGAAGGTTACAGAACAAATGCGCAAAATGGAACAACTGAATGAATAACTTAACTGTAATAAAGTATCCAAAAAAACATTTCCAGCACTTTTTTTAAGCTATAAAAAGAAAAATTTAATACTATGAAAATATTTTTACTGAAAAAAAACTTCCATATATGTACATATTTTCATTAAATGTATGTTTTTCATTTTCCTATATCAAATCTTCATATTAATTAAATTTTTCGAAAATTGTTTTGAAAAATAGGAGTTATTACCTGGAAATCTTTTGAAAGAATCCTTAACAACATTAAGAGAAACAAGCATTAACTTTTTATGAAGAAAGTTATCACTCTTAAAAAAATTAGGTTTTGTGCATGGATATAAGTTATCCATTATCTACACTTAGTCACATATATTTTCAAATAAATATAATTTTGATTTTAATGTTTTTAACTACAGAATTACAAATTCTTTAAACCACATCTAACATACAAATTTGTTTTTATATAATCATATATTTTAAGCATAAATATTGAATGTCGTGGGTACTTCAGTAAACTTCATTTCAATAAATATTAATTTCTCAGATGGATATTACGATTTTCATTTAGCAATTTTTGTCTACTACAAATGAAGATCAGAAGTTGTCAAATGACAAAAGTTATGTTCTGTAGCATAAAAATGCATTGTCACACTGTGCATGTCTGCTTCTGTCTACATGATGAACTGACACATAACAGAAACTGCAGAGAATTCATCAGTGATCATAAGTCGATTGTATTGCATTTTCTTATCAATGCCACACAGCATTTCATTGATACTGATGAATGGGTGTTTTTCAATCCTTTAGTTTCTGACATCATTATTTTACTGCTGATCTATGCATCACATCAGCAGCATAAAATTCGATTATTTAATGGTAAATTTCACATAGCTAAGTATGTATTTCTAGTATGTATAAAATAAATAAAGATTCTAATTTTTTCACAACCGCAAGCATAACTTCTGTTGTGATGCAATATACACAAAGCTTACACGTAACTAACTTATCTCATATTGAGCATCTTTATTGCTTGCTAAATTTTCCACTCGCAGGTTAGCATCATCTGTGCATGATAAAAGTATAAAAAAAATTGTCCTTAAGTATGATAAGTATGTCAGTGCCATAGATGCCTATGTGAATAATAGCCCATTTTAAGTTTTACTCTTTCAAAATAAATTTTGTTCAACTAGTTGCTCCCATTTCTTATTTACTTCCTAGATATGCCCCATATCTAAAAATTTGAGAAAGAAGATATACTGTAATTTTTGCTTTTTAAAAAACTAGTTTTAACAACGATTGTAAAATATTCAAAATTAAATCATAAATTCAAAAAGCATCTTAATTACAAAAAAATATTGTTATGGTATACTAGAGAACAAAACTGCACAATGGATAATAAAATGAAAATTACCAAATGAGATTAGATTTTAAAAATTGAAGATTGTCAAGAATTTAATAATTACTTCATATCAAGAATATGCATTTCATAGAGGTAATAAAAAAATTACTGTGGGGGAAAAAATCCTTATTATACATGTATGTGTTTACAATAACAAAATCTCCTACCTCAGTTTACTGAAACTTTCACACAAATGTTATTTATGAAATAAAGAATCAATTACGTTATAGAATATAAAAAGATAACTTATTTTTATGGAAGATCATGCAGTATAAAGTATTTTTGCTATTATCAACTATTTCTGTATACCGCTATTGCAAATCCAATCTACATGCTCATAAGCATGGAAATCTAAATTAATAAGTAAATTAGATTTATGGACATTTATGCAAACCTATAAACTTTTTTATGCAAACCTATAAACTAAATTTGTTGCTTTAACTAGCAGATCTAAAATAGGCAGGTTTGGTTATGTTATACGAAAAAATACCAAACTTGGGCAGCAGGCTAGGCATTTTAAAAATACAAAAATATATGAGGTTGTTCTTTAAACTCAGTATATATAAAAAAAAAAAAAATTCATATCAGTGGCATCATTTTGCTGTAGACTGTAAACAAATGCATCTATTAACAGGAAAGTCTAAATTAGTACTGAAAATCACACAGCTGTTATTTAAAATTCACTTTTTATTTAAAAACAAGAATTTAAATATCACAGTTTAGAAGGCACAACAAACATAACTTTTATTTCGTGTGTGAACTCAATACCTATTAACACTTTTGCTGCAATGGACGAAATATTCTCAGCCTCCCAAAATTATTCGCTGTGCACTAGGGCGAGATAACTTGTCCCCTATAAAATGCTTTTCTGCATTGTTGTAGCATGTCTAGTGACTTATTACATTTCCAGCATATTCCACTTTATATTATTATGTTTTTACATGATTGGGATTAATTGCACAATTCCTAGTACTTTGAGGCAATTTTCATATCCATGCCACTTGTCAGGTCTGTCATATGTTTCATATACTTTTTATGTTTTTGGAAAGAAAACTGGTTAAATGAAAGCTTTTTTCAATTGAAAAGATAATAAAATACCTCAGTTTATCTGATGAAGAGCTTACTGACAACACAAACTCGGGCAGGGAAAGCAGTTGCAAATTTACTGACTGTGTTTCCAATTCAAGCATCAAAAATGAAATTCATGACATCCAAGAAGTTGCAGAAGAAGATGAAACAAATATGGAGTCAGTTCAGTATGCCTAAGGCTTAAATACTGATGCTGAAAGAGTTAAAGTATTTCCGAAAGTAGTGAAAGTGAAACTGTTGATTCCCAGATAGCTTCAATATCATATGAATGGCATAAAGTTAATAAATAGGGAGAGGCTAATGATATTATTTCTCAGGGTGGCTTTGGCACTATGCATTCAGAATGCGCAGACCTCATAGCCTTCTCATAACATAGAATTTTTTTCTTTATTTGTCACTACAATAATTATGCAAATGATTGTATCAGAAACCAACAGGTACACGGAGTAATGTATTCATGAATCAACAGAAAATTAAAATGTTGTGTACATCATTGAAAACCAAATGATGTAGTAGAAATAGAGAAATTTTTAGGACTTATTTTTGCAATGGGACTTATCATGAAATCTTGTCTTGAAGATTATTGGTCAAGTGATTCATTGTTAGCAATACTGATTTTTAGTGACAATGTCAAGAGATTGATCTGAACTCTCACTAAAGTTTTGGCAATAATCAAGATGCTAATAGGAATAGGTTCAGATATATTCTGAACTTGCATAAAATTCATGATTTTTATTTTATTATTTTTAATATTTTAACATCGTTACAGGGATTATTATATGTTATTGCTGTAGGAAGCGATAGATATAAAAATATTTTAAAGGAATTCGCATTTTGTTTTTACTTTAGGGCTAGAGGGGAATTCTTAGTGCAGGGGGGGGAAGTAGGATGACGGTGCATCATTACTGTGATGACTGTGTTAATCAAAATATGTAGGAATTATTAGGCTTATCATGAATTATCTCAATGTTGACAGTCAGTATATTACAGTAGGTACTATTCAATGTGATCATCTTTGTCCATGGCTATTTTGACAACATTAAATGATGAGAAAAATTATTCTTCAAAATAACAATTGAATTTAACTAATTTAATATAAAAATAACAATGACATATAAATAGTTATTTTCACAGCATTTTAATTAGGAAAATGCAAAAGTTTGTTTCTAAACTATTCATAACATTTCTAGAAATTGCTGTAACCCTAATTTTAATATTCAGAAGAATTATTTGAAGAGAATATGTCAACAAAAGCAACCTTTGCTTGTTGTAGATGTTTTCAAGAAATTTTCTGTTTTTCAAAGCAAAAGAAAAAAATTCTGGAGGGTTTTTTTTTTTTTTTTTTTTTTTTTTTTTTAATGGAAAAAAAAATCATAACATCCATCTTCACATGCCAAAATTTCAAATTTATTAGAATCAGTATCTAAAAAGGTCCCTGCAATAATACCCATATTAAAAAGGCACTCAATAAGTTTCTCATTCATGAATATCAATCTAGCTACTTTTTATAAAGTTTTGGTCAAATACCAAAATAGAAAATCATAAAAAATTATTCTCTTAATACTAAAATCTTTACCATTTCTGAGGGTTTTAAATGTTCTATTTTATTATTTATTTCAATAAAGTTCATTTAAAATAATTTATTCCAAGAAGCCATTTATAAATTAAATTAGTTTTATATAATCAGAAAAATGTTTCATAATATTTACAAATATTGTTCATTTTAGAGAGCAGCTTTCCCTTTTATAAAATGTGCAAACAAAACAAAAATAAATGCTTGCTTTTGCTTAGTAAATTATGCTATAGCATAGAAAAGAATCTTCAATAAAATGGATTTTTTAAAAAACATTTTAGATAACACAAACTTATTTAAGAAAAGCTAAGACTATTATTGTTTAGACTGGCTATAACATATGGATTGGAAATAAGACTTGGGTTTTTCTAATTCTTATTCAACAAAGAAACAAATATTTACAAGCCTTTTTGATTTCAGAATTTCTAATTTCCTTGATAATTGTTAAGCTATTTACGTTTATTTCTGGATATTATTAGAAATATCTTTAATCATAATTGAGTTATCCAAAAATATATCTAGTTTATGTTGCATTTAAATTTGCAGAATAAATTTCCTTTTTTATTATACTATTGGAGTAATCATTCAAGACAGAAATTTAAAGACACATTTTATAAATTACATTAATATATCATACCCATATGAAAAATTATGTTCACGTTTTCCACAATAAGATATATCATCTGTACAATAATAAACAATAAATAACGATTAAAATAATTAGATTAATTTCCCAAGATATTTAGCACGAGGATATTTTTCTCTTAGCCCAGGCCATTGTACAAGAAAATGATCTGCTATATTGTAGAGTATTTTGCCTGTCAAAGACATTGTATTAACTCGACAGATGCTTTCAACATATATCATTTTAATGTGCTTCCAACCTAGAACCTAAAAAATGAAAAGAAAAATAACATAAGATAAAAAAGAAAATTGTACAGAAATCTAATGCAACTTTATATACACACATCTGAGATAAAGGGCAGAATACTTACATGAAGGAAAAATGCTGATATGCATAAAGGAACACATGTACCTGGTCCATTGCACAGGATCTAAAAAGATATTCAATGCCTTGATAACATAATAACATTAAACATATATCATATTACATCAAATATAAGACAGCTTGATATATTAAATGATTCAAAGTTTTTAAAAGTTTCATAAAGAAAGAGAATCTGCACATAATATGACTGCATATGAGCTGAACTGAACGTAAGCATACAAGGAACAGATTCCATAAGAAAGATAATTAAATTATCGGAATATCATACTTGGAAACAAAACTAATAAATATGCTTTTAACATGAAAGCTAAGTGATACATCATCTTAATAGATGTACGGCAGGCAAGATTTTTAGAGGGGCAAGTTAAGGACAGGAAAGGATTGTCTTACATTCTGGCAAATTTATACACAAATTGACTGAAAAATTTTTAAAACTGCCTTTATTTTTCCAGATACAATCCAAAGTCGTTAATCCAGACATCTATAATCCGGACCTCAAAGCTACAAACTTTCTGTGCATGCGTCAACACATAATGTGTTCACGCATGCGCAGACATTCACGCATGTGCGTTTAATGTATAACCGACGGTATAAGCTAAGCTAAAATTATCTAATTATCTATTTCAGTTAATGCTGCAGATTGCGTTCTTCCTTAATCTTCAAATTGGATCCGGCTTATTATTTTTTGCAGACTGTTAGAGCAATTTTACAAAAGTAAGCTTGAACTTTCGATTATGTCTAATAGAATTTCCGATTCTGGAGCTGCCAAAGGATCTATCTACAAAGCGAAAGCATGTTTTGATGTCCATCAAACAAAAAGTGGAATCTCTGCAAAAAATGGATAAAGGCATATCCTTTGTTTCTCTAACCATTCCAAAATCTGTTTATCAATTGGGGGGGATGCGCAAAATGAACTGGAAGTTGATCTGTCAGCACTATCCTTATCTTCAGGACAGATGTTTTTATCTTATTCGGCTTATAATTCCTTTCTAAATGTAGTATTTCATCTCGATGTACTCCGTCTTTGATATGATTTAAATCGAAATCCTCGTCATTATAAATATCACGAATACACATCAAATGGTTTTCTGGTTTTGCAATTTTCTAATTTCGACTATGCGTAATGTATGCTTTACGCATGCGCGCATTGAAAGAAATGTTTAATAAAGTAAAAAAAATAAATATTAAGCTTTTTTTTTTTTTTTTTTTGTAAATTTTGATACCTTTTAGATCAAAATTTCTCTTTATTTCATAAATTACAGGTTTCATATTTTTAATTTTATAATTTCTGCATGCCATCTTACCAGATTTAAATTGATGATCTATAATCCGGAATCGACGAAGTCCCGATGAGTCCGGATTAAAGACTTTTGACTGTATAAATGAAATAACTTATATAAATGTCAGAAACTATTGAAACAAAGTACACTGCACACAGCAAAAAAAAGGGGGCAGTTCTATATCTCCCATTCTACAGGGCTGATTGACGAAATTCAAAATACGTTTTTCATGTCTCAAAAGTGCGATTTAGGATTTATATTAGATTTATATAAAATATCATTCTAATATAGGTATTTTGACACGAAATCAGACTTTTCTGAAATGACATGCCAATTCTTCCATATGTTGATTCTACGACTCAAATTATACTTAAATATTTAATTTTGCAAAATTTGGTGCAAAATTTATGGAGAAATTCAAAAATTTATCTTGCCATATTTTTCTCAGTTTTTGCCAAGAATAATTTACTTGGCAAACTTCTTAATTTATAGCAACCTATTTTCCTTTCCTTTTTTTCATTTCAGATGAGCAAAAAAAAGTTATGTTCATACTTTCAAACGCTTTTAACAAAGTGCTTACACCATATTTGGCATTATTGTCGCTCAAAAACAAGATGCTAAATTTCAAAATGCTCCAATATGTTAATACTAATTCATGTATATCTTAAATATACCAATTCAATACCTTTCAATACCAATTCATGTACATCTTAAATTTTGAATAAAAAAGCTCCGCTCCAATTTTCTGCATGTGTGCCTAGAAATATATGTACTTTAAGATAATGTACAAAATTTTACAGATTTATAATACAAAAAATTTATAAAAAATATTTTTAAATACAAATTTTTAAAATAAATCGTAAAAAATGTGCAAATTATATTTGGATTCAGCCTAAATTTTTAATTCTGGAAAAAGGAAGCAAGAAAGTTTAATAAAAAAGAGATATTAATAAATATACATCAAATTCAATTAACACTGATGAGCTAAAATTTTGAGAGCTAATTCTTCAAAAACTACTCGCGAGATTTTTACAAAAATTGGCAGTTTGGTATAATTTCAGTCGTAGAATTGAAATATGGAAATCAAATTGGCATGTCATTTCAGATAAAGTCCAATTTGTGTCAAAATACCTATGTTAAAATGATGCAATATAAAAATCTAATATATATCCTAAGTAGCAGTTTCAAGACATGAAAAACACAAGTTGAATTTCATCAATAGGTCCAATACAGAGGGAGATATAGAACTGTCTCATTTTCTTTTTCTTTACGTAGTGTACATTTACACAGGCTGTTCAAATTACTATGGCCACTTTTACACAAGCATCTCATGATCAACCTAAGAATTCCCATGTACTTCACATAGAAAAGTACTAATAACTTGTTGTTTCCATAGAGAGGATATCCCAGATTTCTGTGGTAACTACTGAAAATTTGGCAGCAAGATCCTCATTGCAGACTCAATTTCGCCAAATTTTCATCATTAACCCATGAGAAATTTCAATATTTCAAGCACCATGTCTCCATATCAATTGTAAAGATAAAAAAGAGGAAGACATATTGCCTGGAATCCAATGAGCATGGAGTCCAAGTTCCCATGTTCTAGGTCTTCTTCCACCCATGACCCAACCCTCATTACATTGGAAATGTGGCACCAGTGGAGTAGCGAGCATAACTGGTGCCCAGGGCAAAATACCTTTTGGGCACTCCTCCCAAAAACAGTGATATGATGAAAATCTTGTTTGGAGACCATTTGACACCCATCTGTGAGTGGCGCCCAGGGCATCATACACCCCCTTGCCACCCTCACTACGCCACTGTGTGGCACCTAGGTAAGCATGCACTGTTGTGCTGGAACGGCAACATGCTAGAACCACATTTTAAAATGGTGGGCTGGTGGTATATGCTGTAACAGTTCCAGCAACAATTGTTGGAGAAATATCAATTAAATTGTTCCATCCAGACTTTCCAATAAGAGATATGGATCAATGATATTCATAATGATGCACTGTTGGCAGGAATGTGGACATGTTGCAGCAAACTACACTTGGTAAAAATACCTATTGAAATAAATGTACTTTGACTAAATTTTCCATTGAAAACCTTCGCTTTTATATGAATGCCTAAGTGCATCTCCTAGCACTTAACTGCTGCATTTGTTAACAAATGCTTATTGCCACACATTCTATAGAAATAAGTATTTGTTTCAGAGTTTTCTAGCACCCCTTAAAGAAGTTATCACATACAGTTACAGTCCCTACTAGATGGGACTTTTCTGAGAAACGAGATTCTGGTAGCACTGGTTTAAATGGGAGGATTCCTAGAAAAAAGAGCCCCACTGGAAGCGAAGACCCGCCTAGCTACAGAAATAATGTTGCGGCTATGCGGGATTTTTCAAACCTCACCGAAAATGTCTTGGATCCTGGGTAGAGACAACCAATCAGACGAAAGTTCTGCTTCTGAAGGATCACATGATCCCAATTTGAGCGATAATTGAGTAGTATTTGGTGTTCAAGTCTTCATAGTATGTGAGAATGGTAACCTAGATACGTGTGTTTCCTGAAATTGTGCAGGTTCTGAGAATTGTCCTTTTCGACGTCAAGTCCTGCATAGCCGAAACATAATGTGATTGGGAGCTAACATTTGTGGCATTAGTTTAGAAACACCTTGTACATCTATTATTAACTAAATATACAAAAAGCTCATAAGCTTTTGCATTTTTTTTTTTTTTTTCATGTATTTCACTCTCTTTATCAAGTGCATGCCTGGCTTAGAAACGCTTAAAATTATTTAGCTTAGAAGCTTAGCATGAATAAATCTGGCCCTAAATATAAAATACAGAATCAATTAAATTATTTTAAATTTATACTTACAGCTTCAGGTTTATGTTTGAGGACTAGCAAAAATGAATGGAAGCATGAGATTAAAGTGGTAAAAATTGTGGATAGCCATGACTGATTGACTTCCCTGCTGCGGGGTATTTTTTCTATGGTATATAGTTCTTCAGATTTCTGAAAAATAAATAAATAAAGGAATATATACTTTGCATCTTTAAAGAAGTTTCAATGCAAAATAATTCAAGGATTATTAGCATTACAGTCAAAAGTCTTTAATCCGGACTCGTCGAGACTTCGGCGATTCCGGATTATCGGTTTTTCCGGATTACAGATCATCAATTTAAATCTGGTAAGAGGGCATGCAGAAACTATAAAATTAAAAATATGAACCATAATTTATGAAATAAAGAGCAATTAAGATCTAAAGGGTATCAAAATTTACAAAAAAAAAAAAAAGCTTAATATTTATTAAATATTTCTTTCAACGCGTACACATGCAAAGCATACGCATAGTCGAAATTAGAAAATTGCAACCAGAAAACTATTTGATGTGTATTCGTGATATTTATAATGATGAGGAATTTGATTTTAATCATATCAAAGATGGAGTACATAGAGATGAAATACTACATTTAGTAAGGAATTATAAGCCGAATAAAATAAAAACATCTGCCCTGAAGATAAGGATAGTGCTGACAAATCAACTTCCAGTTCATTGCATGCAGTGACGTCCCACCCCACCCCGCAGAGCTGCGTGAAATTGATAAACAGATTTCGGAATGGTTAGAGAAACAAAGGATATGCCTTTATCCATTTTTTGCAGCAATTCCACTTTTTGTTTTATGGACATCGAAATATGCTTTCACTTTGTAGATCCTTTGGCAGCCTCAGAATCGGAAATTCTTTTTGACATAATCAAAAGTTCAAGCTTACTTTTATTAAATTGCTCTAACAGTCTGCAAAAAAATGATAAGCTGGATCCCATTAGAAGATTAAGGAACAACGTAATCTACAACATTAACTGAAATAGAAAATTTTAACTTAGCTTATACCGTGCATTATACATTAAACGCGCATGCGTAAACTTATTATGTGCATGCCTAAACGCAATGTGTAGAAAGTCTGTAGCTTTGAGGTCCAGATTAAAGACTTTCGACTGTACTAAGAAATTTTGGTTCTTTTGCCTATTCTACCCCAAAGTATCCAAAAGACAGTGGTGTAGCTAGAAATTTTAGGCCCATAGGCAAAACTTAAAGTAAGGGTGTCAAATAATTATTTTTGTGCAGAATTTATTTATATCATATAATTGCCATATAAGTCATATAATTGAATTTTATGTAATGTTTTTAAGCAGTTTAAGACTATTTTAATAATAAACAAAATTTATTAACATCAAAACCAAACAGAAACAATATCAATAAAGCATAACTAATTAAAAAAAGAATAAATACTAATCAAGTTGCATTTGCAATAATAAATGGATTCATGAAACACTTAAACAAAGTGATCGTTTTCAAACTTTTGTAAAGGCAAAAGAATCTATTATACTTGCTTCATCATGCTCAATAGAAAAAGCAAAAGTCTGCCGAGTCATATTTCTTCTATAATTTTTAATGATTTTAGCTTTTAAAAGAATCTTTCTACTGTAGCAACAATCATAGGAATGATTAAAAAAAAAGTAATAAAAAGAAATAACATTTCACAGTGGAAGTTCCTTTCTAGCGAACAATAATTTTTTTAAAGGTTTTTTTTTAAGGTCATCTTCACATAACTGTAATGCACTTAAAGATTGTAAAGTAAATTCTGGTGACAATACATCAGAATAAATATCTACTAAATTGTAACATTTGTATTAATTCAGTTACCTTAGAGTATATAAGCAGGTTTGAAAAAACCAAATCAATCTCTCACATTTGTCATCAAGTGTCTGATTTACATATAAGCTACACAAGCTATAGCTTACGGCCTTGACAAGAATAATTCCGAATTATACTTAGGCATCATTTTCTTGCTCCTCTATTTCCTCTTCTTATTCATATGTAATATAAGAGCAAAACTTATTAACTACAGCCGTCTTTAAAAAATGCTTTTAATGTAGAAAATTTTCATAATATGTATTATAATGAATTTTAATATAAATACAAACATTTAGTAATTTTAGCAGCTTTGTCAGTAATATGCCAATGAATTATACAAAGCTTCATGTTGTCTGCAAAAGTATACATTGATAGACATTCAGTAATATTCCAAGTATACATACAGAACTTCAGGAATTGAGAGGAATTCATGATTTCATTTACAAAACATAAATATTTAACACTTCTACATAGACTATTAATATGATGATTTAAGAGCTAAACAAATCTATTATAATACACAAAAGAAATACATGAAACTTACATTAGTTGTTTGGACTAAAGTGCAGAATCATCCACTTGTTTGTTTGGCGCTTTTTACAAGAGTAAGAAGAATTGGATTTTTGTCAATTTTCTTTGACCTTTTTAAGTGAAAATACGTCAATGTATACATGGATTAAGTCAAGGGAGTGTGCAATGTCATTTTTTGTGCAATTCTGGGATTTTTTTTACATTAAGTCAATGTGTACATGGATACCGAGTACGTGCAATTCTTAAAAACGCACCAAGCAGTGGGCGATTCTGCACTTTCCACTTTGTTTTAATAATATTGGTACTCATAATATTTAACACTTCTGCATAGACTATTAATATGATGATCTAAGAGCTAAACAAATCTATTATAATACACAAAAGAAATGCATGGAACTTACATTAGTTGTTTTAATAGCTTCGAATGCTTGAGCCTTTTGTTCACTGAGTATATCAGTATCTGCTAACACATATATCCTGGGCCTAAATTTTCCATCTAAGTTGCTGATGAGGCGCAACATTTCAAATGTATGCCCTCCTTTAAAAAATAAATAAATACAAAATTAATATTAAACATGCTATTTTATGTACCCACTTAATACAAATGTATGTCACATAGATCTTAATTTTTTTCAATATTTATGTAGAACAAGACAATAAATTAACAATTTCTCAAAAGCGTAGGCAGAAGAAGAATAAGAATTATTCCAAAAATTATTCATTTAGAACTTCCTCCCACTTCATCAATAAAATGCTCACTCTCATATAACAATTAATGATTTAGATATAAGTGGTTAATTTTATAGAATACAAGTTCCCATTGAAAATATTTTGGAGCTACACTTAAAACTCTTGGTTTATTATTAATAAAAAATTGAAGTTAACAAACGAAATTTGTAAACTTTTAACGTTATTATCTATAAGTAAACTTCAAAGGAATTCAAATAAAAAATTACCTGAACCTAAAACTATCAATAGTTTGGCAGCTGACCTTCTCACAGGTGTCACATTTTTTTTCTTGTGTATTCTCTGATATACTATAAAAACGCTAACAAAGAAAAGACAAATGAGAGTTCTTACAATGTTACTAAAATAAACGTTTAACTCAGTCCACATTTTAACACAAAAGCTTTCTCCAACGAATAAAAAAGGTCTAAAGAAGAAGATATATGCTTAAATAAAATTAATAAAATATACAAATGATTGAAATAGTTGCTTTGCCATCCGACATCTCGTTAACAAATATCAGTACACACGTGTTCCAACAAACTTCATTTCGAGATCAAAACATCCGGCGTCTTGCTAATACACATATGAATGTAACTGATAATTTAGCCCCGAGAGGGCAGCACCAGACCGCAGTCGTTTAAATTAGTATTTTATAATTTAATCATTTTCTAAAGGAATCGTCATCTGTAAAAAGGTAGTAAGGTGGAAACATTTTGATGTACTTGGTTTTAGCTCAGAAGACGGCTTTCTTTGAGCTTATAACATAATAGCCAAGGAACTAATTTGTTAGAAGTCTCCTTTTTGTTAATTTTTGTTAGTTTGTAGGTTGCACGAAGGCTCTAACACCTTAAAAAAATAGAGGATAGACAGACAAGACAGATGTCTTTTGTTGCACCCGCTAAGTCTTTGTGCACCGATGGGCGAAAAATCAAGCATAGGTGCGAAGGAAAGGTATATAGAAAGGTGGGCAATTTCGTATTTCAGAGGAGAGTAAAAAGGAACTTCGTATATTTTATACGAGTTCGAAAGGCCAGGAAGAAAAAATGGGAACAAAATAAAGTAAAAAATAAATGGCCCAAAAGGAATGGAGAGGAAAAAAAAAATTATTTATAATTAAAAAAAAAAAGGGGCCTATAGAAAGAAAAGGAAAGGAAGTAAGAGAATTTTGTTTTATAAAAAAAAAAAAAAAAAAAAAAAAAAAAACCACGATTGTGTTCATGAGTGTAGTCAAAGTTGTTATCATTTACATTAAATACAGTCTTCCAGGTGTGTGTAATGAGTGTGTTTTGTAAAGCTGAATAGAGGTAAAGATGGGGAAAATTAATAATAAAATAATAAATTTTGGGGGTCCAGTCACATAACAGTATAAGTCAAGTTTAGAAGCTAACTTTTGCTATAACAAGGAAACTAAAATTTAAAATTTTTTAAATTTAAACTTTTATTTTTTTACATGGAAACCAATATTAGCCTCTACCTTGAGACACAGTAACAGAAGACACATAAGATCAAGATACATATAATATCATGCAAAGTTATACATTAAACTAAGTAACATCATCTATTGCGGTTTCCAACATATTTATATATTCAGAAAACACCATCGGATAAAATCATAAATCCAAAACAAGGCGAGAACATATTAGCAAAAATAAATAAGTAAATAAATTACGGAGTTTTTTTATTATTATTATTAATTAATTTTTTTAAAAAAAAATAAGCATTTTATTTATTTATTAAGTTAATGGTCATAATTTATTATATGTGTACTATTTTATCAATTTGAGGCGCACTGTATTAATATATGCTTTTAATTTAAATAGATAGGAAATATAGATTAAAGGAGCAAAAACTACAACTCTGTACATTCATTGAGGCCCGAGATCGTGTTTTTAGCTCTCGAGACATTCCTCAAAGGGGCCCCAATGGGTAAAGGGCTACTGATAAGGATAGCGTCCCTACGAGATGGTAACCAAAAAAGAACCACATGATTTAAAGCAATTACTAAGTATTTAATGCCAAAACATAATAAAATGAGCATAATAATAATAATGATCATAATAAATGAATGAATTTAAAGGTACTTTAGTGACAGATATTTGATTTAGCTTAGAGAAAAGAAGTTCTACTTATCTGAACGCTCCGTCTTAGTGCTGCAAAAGATTGCAAGGAAGACAAGACCCCCCAGGTACAGGAGAACTCCCAGCTTTGAGAAAGAGACAATGCAGAGGATATTCGCGAAAATTTTCTGAAATAAATGAAGATTTTCCGGAAAACACCTTTGAAAATTCAGGAGCTCTTCCAAGATCCTGCCTCCATCGTACGTGATCACAGCGCCCTCCAAATAGAGGATATATGCAAACTGAAATTTTCAATGTACACAGTTACTGTTAAATATTTTAGAAATTAGCTACATCATTCTTACTACGTGAACTTATGCAGTAATAATCTAGTTGAAATTTTAAATACATTACCACGGCCGTCATCTTAGTGGTACCTAACCTTAACTATTTACTGTTTCCAATATCACTCCAAATCACCAGTAACTAAGTTACGACACTAAAATTACGTGGTGGGAAACGAAGGGAAAGTTGTATTATCAATTTCAATCTGGAAACCGGCAGGGCAGTTTTACTTGTCTACTGGAACGGGTGTTGGCTGAAAGATTTTTACTGTTATCCATAGCTAGAGGAAGCGTTTCGCATGAATGTTTATTAGTTTCGTTTATCATTATCATTTTGCCTAAAATATGTAAATTGTATCAATATCAGCAGTTACCATGTATGCGGTCTTTAGTTTGTGAAGACAGATATTAACTGTTTTGCCTTTAATGTACAGAAAAATAATTCTCATTTCTGTCAGATACTTGAAATGTCCCGCATATGTTTGTTTGAGGGGGTTTTTTACCCGGGCTATTCTCAAAAAAACATGAGAGCATGACTTTAAACACCTGTGGACAAAATTATCTGTTTGGTACTTTAGTATTGAGCGGAGCAGAAAATTTACAGATAGCTTAATGTTTGTTCCATATACAGTTTGGGCAATCGAGTAATTTGTCTCACATCGTAGGGCAGATCTGAGACACAGTAGAACTGTTGATAGCTTGTCAGTCCACTGCTGGGGCGTAGCTAGAGGGGGGCAGGGGGCATCTGTCTCCGGGCGCAGAATCCAAGAGGCGCCAAACTGATGTTACGACATTTTAGAATTAAATGTTTTCCATCTTTGGCAAGCAGTAGGGGTTGCGAAATCTTCAGTTGTCCCTGAGCGCTGAAAACCCTAGCTACGACTCTGGTCCACTGAGCATTATTATTCGCTTTTATGACAGCCATCAACGTCCTATGAAGCCTTTCAGTTTTCCCACTGGATTGGGATACGCTGTAGTGTGAAGAACCTTAGCCCCATATATTGCAGCCAAACTCCTCAATAACTGTGATTCAAACTGTGTTCCTTGATCCGTAATAATTTTAGATAGGATGCCAAATCTGCATATCCAATGCTCATAAAAAGCTTTGCTTACCATTTCTGTAGTGATGAATGGTAATGTGGTGACTTCCATCCAACCAGTAAATCAGTCGATACAGGTTAAACAGTATTGATTCCGATTTGAAGGGGGTAATGAGCCGATGAGGTCGATGTGCACCATACTGAAACAACGATCTGGTTCTTGATATTCCGCAGATTAAGATTTGGTATGTCTAATAACTTTAGAATTTTGGCATCTGATACATGCTCGGGCCCAATCTTTAAAAATTTTTTTTTTCATTATATGCCACACAAAACTAGCAGTCATCTCTGTTTCATGGCAGTGTTACGTGCGTATGGGTTCGTAATCAATTGAATGCGCAAGTCCGATAAAAAGTGAATAAAATGTATTCTTATCACAACAAATAAAACAAAATGCTGAAATTTCCTCAGAGATATTCGTACAATATCGTAAAAGCTAATCCGATCTCACAGCGAATTCGCTACAGTCAAATAACAGGTCTAAGTAAACAGCTGAATTCAGATGTTTTAATCCGGCGTTTTTAAGCTTTTAAATCCTAGATGATAAAATTCTGGTATTTTCTCCATTTTTCTGGATAGCAAAACAGTACAGTTACGAGAGATATATTTATAAATGTTAATTGCGCGTGCTCCTGTATTTTAATTTTTCGGACGTAGCTTATTTCTCTTCAAATAAGTATCGTGCTGCATTGCACGAGAATATAAAACAATTTTAATTACAAATTCTACTAAAAGTAGCTAAATAAATGCAAAATCCGTAACAGTTGATTTAATGCCAGGGTGTGAAAAACTGTGAATTTGATAGAAAAGTTTTCTTCTGAAAATAGGTGGAATATATGGCCGAATAATTCTTTTGGGAAATATCCCACCATAAAATTTTTGAAGACGGAAGTACTGACTGGCTGAATTTAAGTGTTGAATCACTTTCCATTTGATTTTTAAATTCTGCATCTGTACTTTGTTCTATGACATTTTGTTCGTAATCAATAACAGAGATACGGGATAGAGTGTCCGCAACCACATTAACTTCTCTACTAATAGGACGGATATCTGTACTGAACTGCGAAATGTACTATAGTTGGCACAATTGTCTCGGGGATTCCTTTTCTCCCTCTCTCTCTCTACCCCCCTTTTGTGTGTGTGTGTGTGTGTGTTTGTTTGTTTGTTTGTTTAAAGACGAATGTCAATGGTATGATCCGTTACAATCACAAGTTCTCTGACTTCCAGCATATACTTGAAATGTTTCACTGAAAGGTACATACGCAAGAATTCATGATCTTAGGTGCTGTTAGATTTCTGAGCATCATTTAATTTCTTAGAACAGAAAGCAATTGGCCTCCAATTTCTTGCTTCAAATTGTTGCACTACTAATCCCATAGATCAGTCTGATGCATCAGTGCATAAAGATAACGGGCATCGAGATGTGAGAAAACATAAAAGGGCAGTATTGACTGAATCGTGCTTGCATTTCTCAAATTGTTGCATTGCCTCCTCAGTCCATGGGACTTTTCTTTTATCTTTCTTTTTTTAAAAAAGAAACTTTTTTACTTTTTTCTTCTTTAAAAACTCCTAAAGTGTTTGAGCAGCGTTTCCCAAATACCTGTGATAAAAATGTATGATACCCAAGAAGCTACGCAAGTTTTCTAAGGCTACAGGCAGTGGGTATTCTAGGATGATTTTATAAGGTATTTCTCCCGCCTTCTTGGCATGCCTTCATGGTGTGGTGGTCTGCACGCTGGGAGCGTATTCCAGAGGTCCATGATTCGATTCCTGGTGAAGACGTTGCTCTTTTTTCATCACTTCTGCTTTCAAAAAATACCTAAAGTCTCTAATGTGGCTTCCGAACTGAAAAGGGTGGTGGATGATGAATCTCTTCACCCAGGATTTGGCGAGTGGGTACCCTAAAAACCCCAGTCGCCCTTTAAAAGGGGGGTAGTATATAAGGTATTTCTCCTGCCTTCGTGGTGTGGTGGTCTGAACGCTGGGATCGTATGCCAGAGGTCCGTAGTTAGATTCCCGGCGAAGACACTGCTCATTTTTCATCACTTTTGCTTCCAAAAAATATCTAATGTCTCTACAACTTGAGCCTTGCTAACCAGGGGACATGATTTTTAAAAGTAACCAGATAAACCAGAAACTCAATTTGTTCTACAACCAGAACGGATTTCGATACATTAATACGATGATTGTGTTTGCTCACTCTCTCAAATACCATCTGCAGATATTGTTTGTATTCAGCCTCAGATGATGAGGCGATCAACCCACCCTCTAAATATGGGAATAGAAAATTCAAACCAAAGAAAACTTCACTGATGAAATGCTGGAGGGTAGCTGACGCATTTCTGAGTCCGAAACTCGGGACATTGAATTCAA